GTTTGGAAGTAACGTCATGTCTGGACTGTACTCCTCAGTGGACCGAATGGGTTGTAGGTACTGTATGTTCTGACGACTGTGGTTTCTGTGGAAGATATACCAGAACTCGTAACTGCGCCACCGTCACGGGTTGCCCAACTCCTGCTCCCACGGCTTGCATGTGATTATTTTGCCTTAGACATATCTTGGAATAATGATGAGATATCGCTTTTTAGTGGAAATAGCACCGATCAAAATACTCCACCATGCGACGGTGGAGACGTCTGCCTCTCTCCAAAAACTTCATGCTGCATGGGAGTGAAGGTGAGTTCCCAACTTTGTATACGTATTCTATATACATCTTTTTTAAGACCGCGGATACGACAGCGAAGCGATTCCACTGCAAAGTTGAATAAGAAGAACAACTGATACCGTTCTATGACCCAAAAGCAATCACATTCCAGATAGTTCTTTATAACTTTTCGTTCACTTTTCAATCGTACATTGATAAATACATTTTTTTCCATCGATTAGCACTCCAAAAACAGTAATGAAATTAAACTTTAAAAAACACTTGAATAATTGCACAAACCTGAATTTGCTACAAAGTATTTTGAACATTTCACGAGAAAAAAAAACAATTAAACATTAATATTGTTGGACCAGCCTGTGAATATGAGGAAACTTAGAGAAAAGTTATCAAATCTAGCAGATAGTCTCATTTGAAGGGAACATCGCTTAATAGACTCCGTGGCAGTCATTCAGAATTTGCCAGTTCCGTAATCCTCCTTTGTAAACCACTGGCGCTGGCATTTTGCTGTAGCCGATAGCGTCAAACTGAATGGGATTTCGACTATGATGTCGAAATTTCTAAATTTGTTGGATCCGCACACAAAGTCAGTGATAGATGGTTCTCATATACATAAAAGCTGTTGACTGGAGATCTTGGCTAAGCTTGTATACTTTTTGTGATATTCAGCGTTCAGAATTCCAAAGCAGGCAACCAACCCATAATCTTTCCTGGGATTCCTATATGGAACAAAATGGCTGTAGAAATGGTAAATTTTTTATGCAGGCTTTTTT